ATGGTCAGATTGGGATTTTTTCAAAAAGAAAGAAAGAAAGAAAGAAAGAAAGAAAGAAAGAAAGAAAGAAAGAAAGAAAGAAAGAAAGGGGGGTTGAAACACCAGCCCCCCCCCCAAAGTTTTTTATTTGAAACAATTTTGGACAGAAAGGAGAAAGCAGAGAAATGATAAACCCACTCAAATATAAACTCTAAACTTGGTTTTGGATTTGAAGTAGAAACCAAACACTGAAGGATTTATTCTGTTTAAATTCTTTCCAGCTAGTATATCTTAACTCCAAAAAAAGAAACACTTCTTCTTACTGATAACTGATAACCTAACTTTGCCTGTGTGGGAAGTTTTAATTAGCCAACTGCCATAAATCAGAACTTGGGAAAGTATGAGGCAAAGAATACCTGAATCTGGCTGATCACAAGTTTGTTCCAAGTGATATATTATGAGCAGCTACAAGCGACCTGGCCTGGTAAGGGAAAGAATAATAACAGAATGATAATGGGATCAAAAACTGGGAAATACAAAGGGTTTTTTTGTTTTGTTTTACTTTTTTTCTTTTTTTCCCACTCTGTAAAAGATTAAGATGGCCCCAGCTTCTCTTCTGGTTTGAATTTAAGATGGACCAGAATCTCAAAATAAGATTTGCATAACTAACTGCAATTTTGGAACTGGACATTAAGGTAGAACAAAAGATTAAGATGGCCCCCATCGTTTTTTTCCCACAGCAACTGAAGCAAATAAACTTAAGGTGGAACAGAATTCTGAAATAAGAAATGAATAACTGTATAACTAACTGTAACTTTGGAACTGGACATCATGGAAAATTGGGAAGTTGAAGAACTATGTGAAATTATAAAATATATGCACGAAACATTAATATCAATCCCAATTAGAATTCTGAATCGAGAGAAGCAGATAGCTAAAGAAGAACTTAAAGAAGGGGGACGAGACATTGAAGGGGTAGAAATGGAGGGAAATAAAAAGCAGACCCGGCAGTGGTCTAGGGAAAATTGTGAAAAGGAGAGGTATCCCAACAAATGGGGGGGGGGAGCAGACAAAAGTGGTTTTGGAGATTGTTAGTGGCATAAGGAAAATTGAAGTATGAGATTATGCCCCAACAAAGAGAAATATAAAATATTATTTTGATGGTGACCTCAGGAAAATTGAAAGGAGTGGATGTGTCAAAATAAAGAAATGGGAGAAGACAGGAACAGATAAGTGGAACAGAAGACTTACCAGGAAAAAACCCCAGATAACTAGAAACTATTATATGAGAAAATATAAAGTTGAGATTAATAAGGGCTTTATTCCTAAATATGATAATAAAATGGAGTTGCTAACTGGTTGAGTATGATAATGGAAAGATAGCTAAATAAAGGTTAAAATATATGAAATATGGATAAATATGAAACTGACATGGGGAGCTTGTAAAGCAGAGGTTTGTGATCCACCTTTTTAACATCATAATTAAATTGAGTTGCGAATTCAGTGAATATGACAATATAAGGACAACTAAGCATGGGTCATAATATATGAAACATGGACATATGTAGAACTTTTAAGATGATGAATAAAGTGAGAGGTTTACTGCTTGTTATTCTATATAATACATTTAGGGAAGTGTAATGAACATTGAACAGCAAAGATTGCCATCTAGAGAGAAATAAGGGTAATCTAATCCAAGGTATGGAAAAATGGAGAGGAAACACAAATATACCTACAATGGGAAACTATTGTGATAAAAAGAATCACAAATTGGGAGCATGTAAGGATGCATAATTATGTAAAGATAATGATGAGAATGGCTGGGAATTGTAACCAGGTCTACAGTTTGACCAAAATGAGATTGGGTATGGGGCAGCTAAAAGCATAATGACTATACATTTATACTTTTCTGTTATATCATTTGTTTTTACTAAAAAGGAGCAGAAAAATTAAATATGTATATTGAAAAGGAATTATAAATACCATCAACATAAAATGGAGCTCAATCAGAAGCTGAAATACACCAAGTAAATGAGATGAAGAGTGCAAAGTAGAGGAGAGAGGTAAGGGAAGAAGAGAGGGATAGGAGAGAGGGGAAGGGAAGGGAAGAGGAAGAGAGTAATGAGTAGTGATAAGGGGAGGGAGGAGAAGGAGAGAGAAAGGGGAAGTGGAGAAGGGAAGGATGACAGAAGGAAAAAAGGAGGTATGGAGGGGGAGGAGAGAGGAAGAAGAATAGCAATAGCAGTTAGACTTATATACCGCTTCATAGGGCTTTCAGCCCTCTCTAAGCGGTTTACAGAGTCAGCATATTGCCCCCAACAACAATCCGGGTTCTCATTTTACCCACCTCGGAAGGATGGAAGGCTGAGTCAACCCTGAGCCAGTGAGATTTGAACAGCCGAACTGCTGAACTGCAGTCAGCTGAAGTAGCCTGCAGTGCTGCATTTAACCACTGCGCCACCAGAAAGTGATGGATAAGGTACAAATATGGTGTATGGAGAGCAGAAGAGCCAATAATTGTTTTTTTGGGAGTTGTTGGTAAGATGAATTGATATAAACATTTAATAATACAATATGATGTTTGTTATGTAACAGTACATATTTGATTATATGTTATGAAAATGAAAAAAAAAACTTTAATTAAAATAAACATAAATATGGATAGAATATTTCATTGCTTGACATTTGGGAAATCCAATTCCTCTTATTTCTCAAGGATAAGCATAGCCATGCCGATGATCATCAATAAGCTCTAATTAATTTCAGAATTTCATGTGAACAAAGTACAATATATTTTAGTATTGCCAACAATAAGTACAGTACCATACAATAGGCCATGTCTCATATGAAGGATCTACACTCATCCTATAAACATTTTTTTCAATTGAGATCAGTTTAATATATATGTAAAGGAGATATACTAATGAGTGTTTGCTTCGGAAAACATTTCTCATTTTTGAAAGCATAAATAGGATGTTTGATATTGAATTTGGGATAAGTCATTTCTATTCTTCTTTATTTGATCATTTATATTATAGTTTCTTTGACTAGCTTTCATTGAAATGATGTCCCCATATTTTCTGTAATGTACAGTATATAGTACTCTAGAATATAATGTTATGATAGAGATATCAAAGTCTAAAACATACAATGAACATTTGAAAGTAGTTGGCATGGCTAGTCTAATGAAGAGAAGGACATGATAGCAATGTTCCAATATTTGAGGGGCTACCACAGAAAGGAGGGGTCAAGCTATTTTCCAAAGCACCCAAAGGCCAAACAAGGAATAATGAATGGAAACTGATCAAGGAGAGATTTAACCTAGAAATAAGGAAAACATTTCTGACAGTGAGAACAATCAACCAATGGAACAGAAGTTGCCTTCAGAGGTTGTGGAAGCTTCATCACTGGAAACTTTCAAAAAGAGACTGGACTGCTCTTTGTCAGAAATGTTATAGGGTCTCCTGCTTGGATGAGAGGTTTGACTAAAAGACCTACAATGTCCCTCCCAACTCTGTTAACTGTCTCCAAAATCTACTTTGGTTTGTGCTGTTCATGAATCATTAAAAAAAGATCTATATATTAGATTATAGTTACGTTGTGTTGTGTTGTGTTGTGTTGTAGTATACATGAGTCTGTCTTGGAAAACAATCCACAAGCTTCAACGGATCCATCTGTAGTGACCAATTCTTACAAGCTGCACTGGTTATCAGTTTACTTCCAGGTAAGATTCATGCTGCTAGTCATTAAAGCCTTACATGATATAGGACCTTATAAGTGGACTGATATTACATTCAGCTGAGTTGTAATGCTTTTTGCTCTGTGTGTACAACAGTGCAATGCCCTATGGTTAATTCAAGAATCTTGTTGCTTAGGTGTCAACACTGGAAGGAACACTGTAGAAACAAACTGGAATCTCTGAAGCAATGCAGGACCAGAAAATTGCAGTGTGTCCTTGCTTGTGAATGGAATGACATTGCTTATGTGGATTTGGGGTAGGAAGACCAATGCAATGTGAAATATATAAAAACCTACTTTTATTGTTCAGCATTACTCTCCAAAGTTTTCCTGCTTTTCTATGCCTTGTTGAACTTGATATTGCTTTATCATTGTCATTACACAAACAAGATATATGTGAAAAATGAGGAAAGTTTAAAATAAAGAAAGTACACATAAACAATGAGATGGCCTCTGATTTACCGTATATACTCGAGTATAGGCCGACCCGAATATAAGCCGAGGCACCTAATTTTACCACAAAAAACTGGAAAAGTTATTGACTCGAGTATAAGCCTAGGGTTGGAAATGCAGCAGCTACCGGTAAATTTCAAAAATAAAAATAGATACCAATAATGTTTTTGAATATTTATTTCAAAGAAAATCAGTAAACTAGCGGTGTATTCAATGAAATACTTCACTCACCTCATGATGCTGATGTCCCGCTGTGATGATGATGTCCCGTGCAGCCGCGGGAGCGATGTCCCGCCTCCTATGACACACGGCACAGTGATTCCTATCATTGGATCACTGTACCAGAGGAGGTGGGACATCGCTATGTGACTGCTTGCCATAACAAGGAGGAGGTGGGACATCGTTGCAGAGCGGCAGGAGGGGGAGGAAGGGGAATCGTAAGACAGCCCTGCATTACATTAGAACGTGAGGAGGGGGGATGGTGCGGTGCGCGCTGCGCGCTGCGCGGCAAACTGACACAGAGGGAGGGGAAACTCACAGGGGCACTGGGCCATTCACGAGTGTCACCCAGCGGCATGGACCCGCCCCTTTTTCTCCTCCATTTCGGGCAAATTTTTCACTGACTCGAGTATAAGCCGAGGCGGCTTTTTTCAGCCCAAAAAGTGGGCTGAAAAACTAGGCTTATACTCAAGTATATACAGTAAGTTTGTGATCTTGGCTTTTTGCATGCATGCACGCAGGCACGCACGCACGCACACACGCACATATACTGGGTAAGGCACATTTATTTGAGAATGAATTCTCAATAACAAATTAAATTAAAAAAGAGGGGACTTAATGTCTCTGGGGTTAGGCCACAGGAGGAAAAAATACTATATTTGCTCATGATTCTACGAACAAAAGCAGACCTATATTTCACTTGAATCACAAACAAAGTCTCGTAAGACTTTTCTGTGGCCTCAACCCAGAAACATTAAATTGAATGTTTGATCTAAATGTATGGTATAGCTGTTTTATAAAGTGTTTGTTTAAAGAGGCAAACACTTCGTGGAACATCTGTACCATAAATTTAGATCACATATTCAATTTAGATAAACAGTTGTCAAGAGTCTTCTGCTATTTAAAGAAACATTGAAAGCACAGTCATTTCTAATATACAAGTCAAAGAAATTTCTGCAATTGAGAAATTTTCTGCTGTAGTGTTCACTAATATTTAATTGGGAGTAAAATAAGCATGGTAACAGTAAGAAATGATATGATTGTCATGACCAATTATATCCTTATAATATATATTGTACTGTGTAAAAATACATAGCTGACATTAACTTTAGATTACCATAAATATATGATATATATGCTGTAAACAATTAAGGAATGAGGAAAAGGGACTGCTGAATATTTTAATCCAATAAACAAAAACTACAGTAAGTTTTTTTTAAAAATGTGAAACTATTTTTAATTAGTTGTGATGAATTCTTGGGTTTTGAAGTCATGTCAAAAACGCTAAAAGAAGCAGGATTTGCAGATACAACAAATCCTTTAAAATCCATTTTGATTAGAAGAAACAATGCTTAATAATGTGGCAGTTTTCAAAGGAAGTATAAAAATGTTTCAATGAACAGAAAGGCATAACTGAGTTACCAAAACCAACATTATCCTAGAATTGCAAATAAATCTAAGTGAAATTTGCAAGTAAGGTATGTAAATATATGTATAATTTATTATCCTTCTTATCATCATTCTTCATCCCATTCTTTATACCTAAAACTTTGGTAGTTCATTTTTTAATTTTTTATATATCTTGGAGCTTGCAAAAAAAATTTATGTCACCATATCACTTTGCTTCTCTAAAGTCAAAATCATGTACATTTCCATCATCAAAGAATGGATCTCACCCGGGCTGTGTTTTTCTGTGTATTAAAATTGTCAAGGTGATAGTCCCAAAGATCTCTCCTATTTTTTTTTTCTAAGAGGCAACTGGACTTTCTTGTTTTCTTTAAAAGTTTCACTTCTCATCCAATAAGCTTTTTCAGCTCTGGCTGGATGGTGAGGAATAGAAGGATTTATATTTCTTGCAGACTACTGTTCATTTGCATTCTTTAAAGAGTTGTTGAGATTTCTTTGAAGTTTATCTGTGTCCTTAGGATCACCTGATTAGTGCAAAGGTGGCAACCTCAAAATTTGGTGATCAAAGGCCATCTCTTTGTTTTTGAGCAAATCCCATGCATATATCTATTCCACAACCTATGACCAGAGCCAAAATATAGGACTTATGATCTGCATCCAATGTTCTGATGATCACCTACTGTGGTCACATGACTGTACTTTGGGCATTGGAAACACAGTTGCCTAAATGGACATTTACAGCATCCAGGAACTATGTGACCATGTTTTATGACAAATTTGCCCAAAACTGGCACTTTCTTCCAATTTTTGGAAAAACTTCACACATATAAGCCATTGGCTTGCTTAAATATACAGTAAAAAATATTTCAAACTTTAATGACATAACAGCTATTATGACTTACAACTGTAATGGGCAGACCATTATGGTCATAACTGTCTTTAGTTCCTAATTTTTTTGGATATAACTTGTTTAAGATCAGACAAGAGATAAAACAATATCCTTTATAGTAAGCTGTTCTGTCCCCCCTTACTCCGCTCGGTAACAGACTACAGGCACACAAACTTAAAAAGAACTCACTTTATCAGTTCTCAGCTCAGACTGGCTGCGAGCCCAAAAATGAATATAAATAAAGTCTCTAACGAGATAGCAGAATACCAAACAAAAACTCTTACAAAGCAATGCACTTCTCCAAGTGTCTCCTTGAATCAGGGTTACAGAAAGCAAATCACTTCTCCAAATGTCTTTCAAATAAACCACGACTGATGATCAATGAATGTTGAACGAACAAATGAACGTTGACTCCTGCAACCAGGGTGTGGCACCATCCGTCCTTTTATCCTCAGAAGATGCCCCTAACGAGCCCCAGCTGCATAGTTAATCTTGCATCCCAAAAAGACTCACAGAAGACTGATGCTGAGTCACAATCCCCCACCGCAGGGCCCTTTCCCCGGTTCCGATGGTCTGGATGCGGTCAGAATGAACCTGCACCCATTTCCTGTGGTGCCTTTTTCATGAGTCCCAAACCTCTGCAGGAATAGCCCCCTTGAATCGGAATTCCTTAGGTATCCAGTGGCCACCATGTTTCCTGCCACCCTTCATGGCATCGACACCCCGTTCAGGGTCCTTCACACTCTGCAAGGTCGACCCACCAGCCCTCCTACCGTCGGAGGTTGATGGCAGTTCTACCAGCTTTGGCCAAGTCTTAATACCCTGTCCAGGGTCCTCCACCTCCTGCAAGGCCAACCCACATGACCCCCTTGCTGTCAGAGTCTGGCGGCAGATCCACTGACTCCTGCTGAACCACCACGCAATTCCCTCCCACAGAGCCCTTCCCCCAGTTTCGACAATCAGGGTGCGGTCCAGAAGGGTTGGTGACGGCCTCCACGGAACATGGTCCAAGACACTGATACACCTCCGGGAACCTAGAAACAAACTCCAGTGCTGCGGGGACCGGAGTCGACAAAGGCTGGAATCTTGGCGGAGTTCTCCTTGCAGACCTGGCCCATTGGCACTGGGCACCTGGCCCATTGGCACTGGGCACATGACTCCCTGCACCTCCGTATGCCATTTCTCAGATGGGGCCACCAAAATTGACAGGACGCCAGGCGCAACGTCCGAACAAACTCCCAATGTCTTGATGCAGACGCGCAATGAATCTGCGAGAGCACCCGTCAACGGATGTGCCCTGCAGGAACATACAGCCAGCCCCGACACGTCAAAAGATCCCCTTCCAAAGTCCATGGGGACGCTGGCCCCACTTCCGCTTTTCGTCGCTCCAACCAGTCATCACCCCACTGCGTATCCCATATCAGAGACTGCATGCTCACGGGATGACAAACAGCAGCGCAGGATGCAACAGGTAGAACAGTCCAAGGTGGAAGCGAGTTCGTAGGGACATAGTTCTCTACTTTACTCAGCAGGGCATCTGCCCTTGGACTCCACACCCCCGAACGCATGCTACCTTGTGCGAAAGGGGTATTACGGCCGCACAAACATGCTGGTTGTCCAACATGATAGTGCATTGCTGAGGGACGGCTGCAATCTGCACAACCCTTCTGTTCTTCTTGGGGCAACTCCCTGCCAGATGTCCAAGATCCCCACAGTAGAAGCACAATCCCTCAGCACATCGTCTGTCCATCTCTGTCTGTGACACTCGAGGTCTGAGAGCACCCAACTCCATGGGCTCCTCCCAGTCCACTGCAGTCCCTTGCTGAACCGGCATGCTGGTGGTCTCCTGGAATGCGCGGTGAGGCCTTCACCTCTGCAGCCTGGTGTCTATCCAGAAGCACAGGTGGACCAATGCGTCGAATGTCGGTGGCCTGTCCACCCTCACCAGTTCATCCTGCAAGGCCTCAGACTATCCATCCTGGAACATGTCCATTAGAGCTGGTTCATTCCACGTGGAATCCTGGCTACGCAGCCTGAATTCCATCACATAGTCCTGCAATGAACCACTCCCCTGCTGCAGTGACTTCAGACTTCTAGCTGATGTTTCCCCCTTGATAGGATCTTCAAACATCTATTTGAAGTACTGACAAAAGCCCTGGAAGTCGTACAACAAAGGGCTCTGCTGATTTAACAAGGGGGTAGCCCAGCGGGCAGCTGTGCCTGAGAGCAAACTGATAATGAATCCCACCTTCGTCCGGTCAGTGGGAAAGTCCTCCGCTCTCAAACTCAGGAACAGCTGGCATTGTCCCAGAAATGCGGCAAACATGGGCAGACTCCCATCATATTTATCTGGCATGGCTACCGGGCACTTCCTCCTTGGCTTGGATGGGGGGGGGGTTTTGCAGCTCTCTGCAACTACGTAATTTGGTCCGACAACATCACAATTTGTTGTGCCATTTGCCTATTTTCAGCCATTAATTGTTCTATAATTAATGAAATGGAGGCTTGTCGGCAGGAGTCAAACTGTTCTGTCCCCCCTTCTCCGCTCGTTAACAGACGACAGGCAAACAAACTTAAAAGGAACTCACTTTATCAGTTCTCAGCTCAGACTGGCTGTGAGCTCAAAAATAAACATAAATAAAGTCTCTAAAAAGATAACAGAATACCAAACAAAAACTCTTACAAAGCAGTGCACTTCTCCAAGTGTCTCCTTGAATCAGGGTTACAGAAAGCAAATCACTTCTCCAAGTGTATCTCAAATAAACCACGACCGATGATCAATGAATGTTGAACGAACGAATGAACGTTGACTCCTGCAACCAGGGCGTGGCACTATCTGTCCTTTTATCCTCCGAAGATGCCCCTAATGAGCCCCAGCTGCATAGTTAATCTTGCATCCCGAAAAGACTCACAGAAGACTGCTGCTGAGTCACAACAGTAAGCTATACAGATGGTGTTCAGCTTACGAAAACAACTGAGCCCAAAATGCATGTTGCCCCATTTTACATTTCTCACTACATTTTTTAAGTGAAACACTCCAATTCTTAAATTAGTAAATGATTGTTAAGTGAATCTGGTTTCCCTATTGACTTAAAATATTTCACATTTCTTTGGTCTTCCTGTCTCAAGTTCATATAAAGTAAAATATTCCTTTAAAAGCAAAGACATTCAATATTATTCTGTTCCTTTATTGCTTCATAACTTCATCATATTTCTATGGGGTTTTTTTGTGAGAGGATCCACATCTTTTTTTTTTTTTTACATTCTATTCTATTCCAAACACCTGAAACTAAAGATTGCTGTAGCTGGCTCTGAATTCTTTGTTCTAGGATTACAATATAAAAATAATATTAATTTAAGATGACCATGAACGAGGGCAAATAATTCTTCACTGAGTATTCACTGATAATATGTTATCAGTTACAGGATAAGAAAAAAGATCCCCGAGAATATTTAGTTCCAACTTTTTAATCACTTTCTTCTCACTGCAAAGTACAGATCCGGTAAAAACAAAACAAAATGAGGATCCATTTCTAATTAGGTATGATGGACTCAGGGGAATGGAAGAAGTCTCTGAGAATCCAAAGCAGACTTGATGAAATTTGCTTCATACATAGGAAATCCTTTTAAATCCCTCATTGATGAGGAAAAGCTGTATATGAGACATGCAAGCTTTCAAAAAAAGAATACTAGTCCTTAATGAACAAAATGGCTAATTTCTTCATGAAACACTGAAATTAAAAATACTGCTGAGTGGAATTTATTGGAAAGTAAGTTCATTGTTTAACATCTTCTTTTCATCATTCTTGCTCCCATGCTCTTAATATGAGCTCTTATCCATCCATCTTTTGCTTCCCCCCTATACCTATTGTACCTCTGAATCTGTCAAATTCCAAAATCAACTCATTATAATGTTCATTTTCATAGTAATTAACATAATGCAAGTTGTTATATTATAATAGTGCTGAACAATGCAGAAAGATATTGCTGTTGTTAAAATTATTATCATCCTCTATCATCCTCTATCGATAGATAGATAGATAGATAGATAGATAGATAGATAGATAGATAGATAGATATAGATAAATTAAATTAAATGTATAGGAAATATATTAATATTCTCCCTTTATTTCTAGGTTTTTATATCTGTGGCCAGAAATGGATAATGATACTACAGTGTTTTTTCTCTTGGGATTTTCAAATATATGGGAACTACAGCTTCTGTATGCAATGGTACTTTTGTTTTTATATTTGATTGCATTAGCAGGAAACTTACTCATTATTTCTGCAGTTGTTTTGGACTCCTGTCTTCATATCCCCATGTACTTCTTTCTGACAAATTTAGCCATTCAGGACATTGGTTCTGTTTCAGTCATTGTCCCCAAAGCTGTTTTCAATTCAGTAATGAACATCAATAGTATTTCTTATCCCGAATGTATACTCCAAGTGTTTTTGTTTGTATTCTTTGTAGACTCTGATATTTCTCTTCTTACTGTCATGGCATTTGATCGGTATGTTGCCATTTGCAATCCTTTACAATATGAGATGATAATGAATAGGGAGGTTTGTACCAAGATAATTATTAGTGTTTGGATTGTCAGCTTTCTCAATGCTGTATTAAACACAGTGGGAACTTTCATTACTCCTTTTTGTTCTAATATGGTCAATCAGTTTTACTGTGAAATCCCACCTCTACTTAAACTTGCCTGCTCAGATTTATATGTAATTGAAACTGGAATTGTAGGATTTATTTTTACAATAACATTTGGTTGTTTTGCTTTTATCATTGTTACTTACATTCAGGTCTTTGTTGCTGTTTCAAAAATCCCTTCTGATCAGGGAAGAAAAAAGGCCTTCTCCACTTGCTTCCCTCACCTTATAGTTTTTTCTTTATTTTTATTTACAGCCTCACTTGCTTATCTGAGGCCTCAGTCTGAGAAACAATCAAACTTTGATATCATTGTTACAATAATGTACTGCATTATTCCACCTATGTTGAATCCAGTAATCTATAGCATGAGAAACAAGGATATTAAGGTTTCTCTTTCAAGAATTCTGGTGAAAAGTAATTTAAAATGTAATTACAAATATTGCAGATGAATTTTATTGTTGATATAATTCCCACCTTCTTTTTCACACTTTCACATATTTTTTACACTCTTTTCCACATATTTTCCACACATTTTTGTTTTATATTAAGAAGCTTATTTTAGATATTTTGATTCCTGGACTCAAGATATTTAGCTTCCAAGCAAGTTTCATTTCTTGTGTTTAAGATGGAAGATACAGTATATATTAAAATTTTTGATTTTATATATTTTGTAGGATTTAAAGAATGTTTCTCCAAAATCTGCTCATGTGATAATTTCTTTAATTTCTTTAATAGATGTTTATTCAATGGTGGCTTATAATAGTTAATTCACAAATATAAGAAAAGGATACATAATACCTATCATTTGAATACTGCATCTTTCAACTGTGAACATTATGCATTGGTAATGTTAGTCCATAAAACAGATTGTCATTTATTATATAAGTTAAACTAAAGGGATAGAATTGAATCTAGTCTAATTTTGTTTATCAACTGAAGAAATTGGTTCTAAATGAATTTTGGTTATTTATTTGGTTCAAAGGATCTTATTTTACAAGTCATTTTAAAATAATATAATTTTCTTTAATAATTAAAAGAGTTGGAACAAAGATGTTTCTTTCTTTCTTTCTTTCTTTCTTTCATTCATTCATTCATTCATTCATTCATTCATTCATTCATTCATTCATTCATTCATTCATTCATTCATTNTTTCTTTCTTTCTTTCTTTCATTCATTCATTCATTCATTCATTCATTCATTCATTCATTCATTCATTCATTCATTCATTCATTCATTCATTCATTCTTTAAATTATGTACAAACCTGGCCTGGAAGAACAGGATAAAGAGTCACTACCAAGGGAACTGTCAGATAAGAGGGATTTAAGCAGAGTTGGGATTCAATTGGTTCAGATTGGTTCAGGTGAACTGGTTGTTAAGATTTTGTGCAGTTCAAACAAGTGGCTAATCTCACTACTGGCAGGCCCCACCCACCCTGCCTGCCCACTCCTCCCAGTCACTCCTTATCTCACCTCACCTGCCTTGACCAGTCCCTAGAGTTATGCCCAAGGCATAGCTGCTGCTTCCCTCATTTGATCGACCATGTGGTTCAGATGATCTCTGCCTGGTGAGTCTTCCTTCACTACTTGCCCAGCTGCCTCCCACATTGTCCCCGTGGCCCAGCCTGCTTGCCTGCCTTTCCATGGAAAAGAGAAGTGGCTGGGCTGCCTTTCATTGGGGCATGTGGAGCACAACAGAGCTCCTCTTGCCATCTCTTCTCCTCTTCCCGCATTGCCAAGCATGACTGGGTTTCCTGCTCCTCACTTAGCCCCCTGCCCCTTTTTGGATGTAATTTGGGATTGTGGCAGGTAGAGAAGAGTGGGGAAAGAGAGAAAGAGTATTCCTGATTGCTGGGATGACTTGCTTCTTACAGGCAGCTCTTGCTCTGCCTCTCAGCTCTGAAAGACAAGGTTTTTGTGGGCAGGAGAGTTTTCCACACCCACCACCACCCAGATGCACTTGTTTTCTCCAAATGTCCCAAATATTTCTTTGCCTACCTGATTTCCAGATCCATTGCATTTTTCACACACATGTGCAGGAAAATTAAAGCTTGTAGGATTAAAAAAAAGTTCAATCAATCAATTCCAACTTCTCATGGAAAAAAAAGATCTCACAAAGTTGGAATTGACTGGGTGAATTTTAGACCCACAAACTTCTCTTTCCCTGCACATGATGGCAAAAATGCAATGAAGCTGGAAATCAGGTAGGCAAAGAAATGCTTAGGAAAAGTTAGGGCATCTGGGTGGTGGTGGATGGGGAAAGCTCCATGGCATGGCACTGCAATGCCAAAATGGGCAATGGAGCAGCCAGAGTGAAGTAAGCAGGAGGCCCCCTTTCCTCTCTTCTCCTCCTTCCCTCATAATGGCTGCTCCATTTCCCATTTAACCATTGCAGTGCCACACCATGCCATGGAGCTTTCCCCATCCACCACCAACCTACATTGCAGCACAGTGCCCAGGCTCCACTTTGATAACATGGGGGGTCAAATTTGCCTGGCCAAACTAACCCCACAAGTGCTCAGCTTTGATCAGGTTGGTCAGTTGGTTGGTGGCTCCATTGGTGGCAAAAAAACAGCCCCATTGCAATGAGCCTCCTCCTTGCACCAAGAGTGCCCAGCCATGTGTGGCCTTTCCTTTGCCCATGCATTTCCCACTGTTTCTTACTTGCCTCTCTCTCTGGGAGGCAGACCTCTAATCCGCACTGTTTCCTGTTATTTCCCACCATTTCCCTCTGTTTCCCACTTGCCTCTGAATACTGGCTGAATGTGCCTCCTCACCTCCTCCCAGGCCTCTTGCCAATGGCTTCCCGGCACTTTTTCTCCTTACAGCACTGAGTTCCTTGGCTTTTGAAATCTGGTGGTTCTTCTCCAGCTACCAAGCCCAAGCAGCTGATCCAAGAATGCTGGATTTCAAAAGCCAAGGAGGTCAGTGCTACAAGGAGAAGAAGTGCCAGGAAGCCATTGGCAAGTATCACAGTGCATTGCTGGAGCTGAAGGGACTGTTGCTGGCCCAGGAAGACTCTGAGGGCACCACTTTGAATGCCTGCTTTATGGGGGCCAGCAGCCTGGCAAACTCTTACAACAGCTTAGCAGGTAAGGTGGTCACTTTCAGGGATTTTGGCCCCAGAATGGTTGGGAAAGGTGAGAATGGTGAGCAGGGAAAGGAAGATTTTTTTATAGCTTAGAAAATAATGTAAGGACCTTTGAAAGCCTTGCATATTGTAGTGTTAGAATTGATTATATGTCCTAACAATCCTATAGATTTTAACTGTTGGAATTAAGGCCTTGGAAAATTTTGGAAGTATTCATTTTTGGTGATTGAGAGCAAAAGGAATTTAATGGCAGTATGTTAGAAGTACCTTAGAATTGAAACAACTATTTTTGGTGACAATGCTTTATGAAAATAAAAATATTGCATCCTTTTATACAAGTATTTTGTACTGTATTTTCCAAATATTTAAATGAGCTCATGTGATAACTTTTCCAAACTGTTCATATTAATTATTTTGATAGGCTCTTTAAATTTGCAAAAAGGGTCCTCTGAGAAGGATGGATTTGCAGTATTAAAAAAGAAGACAGAGAATTGTGATTTAATGACTGATCTATATACTCTACCAATTATCTGAGGCCTGGGGTCTCCATTTGTACTACCCAGAAAATCAATGTATGTCTGTACATATTTTGCAAGTTGCTTGGCAATTTATCTACTCCTGTATTTATATATTCTTCTAAATATTTTTAAACTTTTTAAAAAATTGGAAGCTGACACCACAAAGCAAAAAACCATCCTCCAGAAAAATCATTTATTTCTTTATATATATTTCATCATTCTTTTTATAAGTGATTCAAAGCAGCAAACATTCCAATTATTCTTCCTCCTTCAATATTCCCCACCACAGTCTGTTGAGAGGGGGGGGGTTCAATATTATCATCGATTGATTATTTTACTCCTTTTTCAAGCCAAATGGTCCTCTCTATTGCTATGTATGTAACAGAGGTATGATTAGCTCAATTATCTCAAGAATATACCACTGAATCTAGTATACAAATTTTAGAAAGGCACAAAAATCTTCTGAATTCTACACGTAAGAGTCATTGTTATCATCTTATGTCTATTAGAAAAGGAAAAGCAAACATGCAGATTATTTTTTTTTTAAAAAAAATCTGAGCCTTTTTTTTTAAAAAAAAATCTCATTATCTGTGTAGGACTCCTGAGAATTGAACAAGTCTCTGAGATATCATTTGATGACCAATTAGTATTTTCATTCAGAAAACCATTTAAATATATGGTTGAAACCTCACACATAATGGCATATTCTAAAGGAGGAATAATAGAGGGAGGATCCAACGTCATGACAATACAACGTGCGGTCTTGACTGCACGAGACTGCTGTTTCCTGTTTCTCCTCTTAAAGTGAACGGATTGATTTTTTTTCCTCTAAACTTGTCACCTCATTTTTTGGCTTGAACTAAAACTTTCTTTTTTATTTTAACAATTTTTCCTACCATTTGTTATTAAATTCCATTAAATACAATTAAAGATCTTTTTTTTCCATAAGCTTGAGACAAGTATGAGAAAGTGGAATCTGCCACTCGGAAGTCAGTCTGGAGTTTTTTTAAAACAATGTATCATTTGTTCTTTCTTCTTTGATCTCACTGACTTTGTAACTGAAGGGTTTGCAACTTGCTTACAAAATCTGATAAAGAGCCAAGGGCACGAATTGTTTTTGCAGGTACTTTTGGAAAATATTTTGGCAAGGAAAGGAAAAGGAAAGAAAAAGATAGAACCCTTCAAGAGAACTTGTGCTTAAGTCAACCATATATATATATATATATATATATATATATATATATATATATATTGATTAATGATATATACATGTTTTGTATTGGTAAAAGCAAATTGGCTACAAGCTTTAAATAGTGAGTTGGAGGGGAAAAAAGGGGGGGGGAATGCTTAGATATCTTATTAATTTATTTTTCTCCAGAATATGTTATAAAGGTATAATGTTATTGGAGGTTTATTGAAATTGTGAATAGCTTTGAAGGGTATTTTGAAATGAATTGGAAATATTTTCATAGCTTCCACTTTACTTCCAGGACTCTCAGAAATGCGGCCAGAAATGGAAAATTATACAACTGTGTTTCTTCTCTTGGATTCTCAAAGATATGGGAAATTAAGATTATATATACAATGTTCTTCCTGCTATTGTATTTAATGACAAAAACAGGAAACCTTTTGATCATCTCTGCAATTGCTTTGGACTCCCACCTTTATACTTCCAAGTACCTTGTCCTGATGAACTTAGCTCTGCAAGATATTGGCTCGGTTTCAGTCATCATTCCCAAAGCTGTTTTTAATTTAGTAGTGAATAAAAGATGTATTTCCTATTCAGGATGTGTTGTTCAAGTCCTTCTGCTTCTCTTCTTCCTGGGCTCTGATGTGGGCCGCCTTACTGTCATGGCATATGATCAGTTTGTTGCCATTTGCCATCCTTCGCAATGTGAAATGATAATGAACAGAAAAGTCTGTACTAAAATTGTTTGAAGTGTGTGGCTTGTGAGCCTCATAAATGCTGTATGGAACACTATTGGCACTTTCACTAATCATTTCTGCTCTAATGCAATTAATCAGTTCTATTGTGAAATCCCACAGTTGCTTAAATTAGCCTGCTCAAGTATATATGTAATTGAAATTGGATATATAATATTTATTATGATATTAGTATTTGGTTGCTTTTATCTTCATCACTGTTACTTATGGATAGATCTTCTCTATTGTTTCAAGAATCCCTTATGTTCAGGGAAGGAAAAAGGCCTTCTCTACTTGTTTTCCTCACATCACAGTTTTCTCCATATTTTTGGTTGCCTCTTCATTTGTTTACCTGATCCCACGACCTGACAAACCATCACACTTATAATAACCTATTCCATTATTCCACCCATATTGAACCCATTAATCTACAGCATGAGAAACAAGGACATTAAAATTGCTCTTTCAAAAATTTTCTCTCTGGGAATTAGAAAATGAACAATGTAATTGCAAACCATGTGAAAGAGAGGTTTAATGTGAATTCTACTATCTAGTTTCATAGTCCTATTAATTTAAATGCTTGTTTTAGTACTAGAAAACAAAAGAATGGATGTTAACTTTTTATTCTTAAATAAAAATGTAACAATAAATATGTAAAATCCTATGTCTGCACTTTTGCATGTTTGTCGAGTTTTAGTTTTCAAATGTTTATGTCATATTGTGCATACAAAAAAAATAGGATCCCCCCCCCCCGAATAATTGTAGGCAAAGTATGGTTGTAAAGGAAAATCTACTGTATATTCTGGATTTCCCTAATATTAACCTCTGACTTGAGAATACTTTTCCTTTTGATTTTTCCTTATGTTTTAACCATATTCTTCTTTTTTATGCTCTATTTCTTCTATTAAACCTTAATGGCTGGTGAAAATCTCATTTTCCCTCTTGGATCTCTTCCTTCTCTACCTTTGCTTTGAATTAGGTTGTAGTAGTTACTTCTACTCTGCTAGTCTTCTCTTTGAACTCAATCACTTATAATTTTAATATTAATTCTAATTACCAAGGGGGTAATTTAGGGGTTAATTTATCATTAGTATTTGCTAATTCATAGCTTTGACTAAAGGGATTTATTTAATGCCCCTATAACATTTCTACAGGACTGTCTATCTATATATGCCACTTTCCTTATGAAACAAAGATGTACTATGAACCTTCTATTTTCAGCATTCACAAGACCTTGAAGAAGTGCCTACTGATTTAATCTAGGACCATGATTTTGTTCTGTAGGGGAGCCTGAGCCATTGTTGATATGAACATCTCTCTTCAATCTGAAGCAATCTTTTTATAATCAAACTTTTCAAAGATTCCTTTAATCTTAACTAACCAGAATTGACCCAGACTTAATACAACCAGAAAAGCACAGGAATCTGGAAAACCTATTATTATTTTTCCTCTCAGTGCTTGAGGAGACTTTTGTTTTACAAGATAAGGCTAGGTTATAACAAAACAAAGTTTGTCCTGGAACCATACTTCTCTTGATTGGTCAGAGCCTTCTGGGAGGTATCATGTGGCTGGGTTAAGGAATTTACCGTAATGCTTTTTTGTATTATGAGATAATACTGTGTGTCTTGCACCCATTGGTGGCTTTTGCTACAATTCACTGTAATATGTTTGGTTCTGGACAATTTTTTATGGGCAGTGAGGTCACCTTTTTGCTATTGTCTTTCTTCCATGGCCAATATTTTTTGGGGAAAGTGATGTAAACTTAGGGCCCTAAAATCTGGGTTACATCAGGGCTCAGATCTTTCATCACACCTTTTTAATATCTACATAAATTCATTGACTTGGGTTGTTTGTTCATCTTGTGCTGAGGTATACTAATGATTCCTAGTTATACATTTAAACTCCTGACCAGGTAGGGATGCTGTTTTGGTGGTGTCCCAATGTTTAGAGGCTTGAGATTATGTATAGTAAGGAAACACATTCAGCTCAACCTTGGCAAAATGAATGGCTTCGGCTTTGGATGTAGTGATGTGATATCTTTATCTATCAATAAGATACAACAGATAAGATACAAAATGTGGTGATCCTCCTGGACTTGGGAGACAGTTGTGACTAGAGAGGGATTTTCATAAATTCATATTTGTACATATATATTTTTCTTTGTAGAATAAATTGTTTGTATTCCTGGACCTGTAGGACTTGCTCTCTCTCAATTGTGGCTTGGTGATTTCTTTCAACATTGACTTTGCAACGTGTTCTATATGGAGCTTATCTTGAAGACCATCTGGAAATTATAGCTGGTCTAGAATGCAGTACTATATGGAGTTCTGATCAATACTGTCAATATTAAAGTGCTGTTGTGTAAGCTGCACAACTACCTCTTATTAATGTGTGATTCGGGGTTCACTTTTAAAGTCCATCATTGCAGAGGGCCTCAAAGGGCTATCTGAGAACTAGCTTTTCTTAAGGTTTTCTGTCAATTCCATTGTGTTGACCTTTTTCTAAATGTCAAAATTGTGTGTACATGCGCTATTTGCACGCATATATGTGCTCACCCACCAGTGCGTGTGTGCACAACTCCCACTGTGCCCTCTCCTGGGGGGAGTTTTCACCCTCTCCAGGCTCCAGGTGCTTTCATGAAGCCTGGGAGGGTGAAAAATGGGCCAATGGCCCAACAGCCCAACTAGAAGTTTGGGAAGAAACTTCTGGTTTGCCCATTGGGGCACTTTTTGCCCTCCCCAGGCTTCAGGAAAGCCTCCATAACTTGGGGAGGGCAAAAAACAAGCCCAACAGGTCAACCAGAAGTTTTCCTGTTGGGCCATTTTTTGCCCTCCCCAGACTTCAAGAAAGCCTCCGGAGCATGGGGATGGTGAAAAACGACCTAACCGGAAGTTCAGGTGCCATAGTTTCAGCATTACGGTACAGTCTATTCCAACTGTCTTTCCTCAAATATTTCTATATAGTGGGACTTTAAAAGTGGGATTTTATGTCTAACAGTGATTTTCTTTGGTATATGTAAGTCAATATAGATATATTTAAGTCCAGTTTGATTCCGATAGAAGAGGATAGAAATAGTTTTTGATAATTGAGCTATTCAAATATGCCTGATTCCATCTTCAATATATCTGTAGTGGTAAGATTCAAATATTTTTGCTACCGGTTCTGTGTGTGTAGCTTTGTGGGCATTGCAGCAGAAGGATACTGCAAAATCCTCATTCCCTCTCCACTCTCAAAATTTCTGCTACTGGTTCTCCAGAACCTGTCAGGACTGACTGAATACCATCTTGGCTGTAGATCTATGTCCTAATAAGCATCTAATAGTGCTTCAGGAAATATGTTCCCTAGAAAGAAAATAGAAAAAGATACAGTAGTCTCCCGAACTATTGGCTAAATGCTAGGTTTATCTACTTGAATAACAAACTTCTGAATTACATTGTTCTAGAGCTTATAATGTTAATTAGGAAAAGCAAAGCAAAAACAAATGTGAAGAAGGGAAAAAATGACCTTAGAGGTTGTTCTAATCAGCTGTTCAGGACCCCCCAGGAATTAAACAATGATTACAAACAGAAGACGTGATTAAACTATACTAATGAAGAAAACTAATTATAACCCATATTTATAGGTGCAAAGTAGATATACAATGATCAGTTCAAAGAAGGAATCTTCCAGGAACAGGAAAATGAGTACCTAATAAGTGAAAATCAGATTAGGAAAGTAAGCTGATTTATTTTCCATTTTATCACCTTTTCTTCTTCATATATTCATATTCTACAGTACTGCTTTCTATAAATCTATTCATTCAGCATTTTATTTATACATTCCCCACATTTTTTCTCTTCTTCCTGCTAAAAAAAACTACATATTTAAATTTTTGATGTGACAACCAGAAAAAACTGTTGGGGTGGGATGAGAGATTTTCACATTTGGGGATTGTGAAGGCTTCCTCTTTCATACTCTCAATTCAAATATTTCCACTTCTCTTCCAATTTAGAGGCTGCTGGCATCACAACCTATTCAGATTTTAATATATTCGTACATCTCTTTCAATTACAAGATGAATTATGGTATTCAAATTGTAGAAAAGTCAAATTCATATAAATAAATTTTCATCTTTTTTTCTTTAAAGCAACTTTCTGTTCTGTGCAGTAGGAACTCCAATGGGATATGGATTATGTTAAACCTGAGTTTTACAGATTTTTATAAATCTGTTTGATTATTAATGATTAAGTTGATGTGATTAATTAATTTCATGCAGTTTCCCACAATCTGGGGAAAATAATTTGTTCCTACACACACAAACATTAAATTCTGAATATGATGGAATTTATAAACATTCAAGTCATGTCTCTTCAAATATAAATCTTCCATTTAGGATACATTTGAAAATTTCTCTTTCATCAATTCTTGTTCTTTTGTTTTTTGAAGAAAATTATAGATTGTAGCACCAATTCTTTTCAATATATAATTCAAATGGAACTGAAGGGGAACACATTATATCTTGTTGCAAGGTGGATGTTGAGAAGGAGATGGTGGAAGAAAGACCCTCATTCAGGTAGTAAACAATCAAGATTCCAAAGCAAATTATCATTAGCTAAAGATTCAAAATTGTTAGATTTAGTTTCTTCTCTGAAACATTGCCTTCATTTCCATTCTACAGCTATGGATTACTTGCTAAGTAATTCTTACTTAAGAGAATGAGGTCCTCCACTCTCTTTGAATTCAGAACTATAAATGCTGACATGAGACATGATTACTGTTAGATAAAAGTATTTGACTCAACACTTCATATAAATTAAGAAAACAATACTTACATTTGGAACTGCTTATTAGTATTTGGAAATACTAATTTTAGTTTAATCTTCACATAAAGACATAGAATTTGCTATTTAAATGTCTTTAACCAATTATCATTCTCTAGGTTTCTGATATTTGTGACAAAACAATGGATAATGACACATCTATATTTCTTCTACTGGAATTCTCAACGATTAGAGAACTACAGGTTATGTACACGGCTATATTTCTGATTCTGTATTTAATGACCCTAATAGGGAACATCCTCATTATTTCTGCAATTGCTTTTGACTCCCGCCTTCACACCCCCATGTACTGCTTTCTGATGAACTTAGCCCTACAAGACATTGGTTCTGTTTCACTCATTGTCCCCAAATCTGTTATCAATTCCATTATTAATGCACGGCATATTTCTTATCCTGGATGTGTTGCTCAAGTCTTCTTCTTTGTCTTCTTTGTAAATTGTGATATTTCTCTTCTTACTGTCATGGCCTATGATCGATTTGTTGCCATTTGCAATCCTTTACGATATGAGATGATAATGAACAGGAAGGCTTGCACCAAAATGATTGGCAGTGTGTGGATTGCCAGTTTCCTCAATTCTGTCTTAAATACAATTGTAACTTTTACTACACATTTTTGTTCCAACGTGATCAATCAGTTTTTCTGTGATATCCCACAGTTACTTAAGCTTGCCTGTTCAGATTTTTATTTAATTGAAACTGGAGTTGTAATATTTAGTTTTACCTTGGCGTTTGGTTGTTTTGCCTTCCTCATTATTTCTTACATTCAAATATTTATTGCTGTTTCAAAAATCCCTTCTGTTCGGGGAAGGAAAAAGGCATTCTCCACTTGCTTCCCACACCTCACAGTTTTCTCCTTATTTTTGTTTACTTCTTCATTTGCTTACCTGAAGACTCCATCTGATACCCCATCACACTTTGATTTTGCAGTTACCATCATGTATTCTATTATTCCACCCATGTTAAATCCATTAATATACAGCTTGAGAAACAAAGACATCAAAATTGCTCTTTCAAAGCTTTTTTTACCTGAGGATTTTCATTTTAATTAGCAAGAATTAGGAGCAGATATATAAAGAATTAGGCATAATGTGAATCCTATTTCATAGTTTATCATGGGAGGGGAGGGAGAGATTGAATTCTCCTGAAACTGAAAGAATGTTACATGCAACTGCCAAGGCACTGGAAGCCATGGCTGGAGTTCCAGAATCCAAAGGATCCATGGACATGACAAGAAAGATGAAGGTCCCTAAGATCACTGAAGCAAAAGAAGAGTCTGCAGAAAACAGCTAGAAGAATAATATATAGTCTTGCATTATAGATGATGGTACAACTAGTTTTACATGGCTCTGGTGCTGGATAAGTGGTCCAGTGAGTATTAAGAAGAGAAGCTATGTGCATTACTAAATCTGTCGAAAGATCTGTTGATTAACAGATTTAAATCTGTAAATATGGAGGAAGAAACAAGCAATGAAACTTTTTATTATTATTACAAAGTGATTTTAAGTGATTTAATTAAATTCTAAGTTTCATACTGTTTGATATTGGTATAAATATTTATGTTTGGTTACTATACTCACAGACAAACGCATACATGAAGAGAGAGAGAGAGAGAGAGAAAGAGAGAGAGAGAGAGAGAGATGTTGATTGATGTATAGAATCATTTGCATATGTAAAGTCTCATGAATAAACTTGTACTAAGTTTATATAGTAATAAATAACAATGACTTCACTTGCTGGCTTTGTATGTATATGTTTGGCTATGTTCCTATCCATTTCTACAATCTGATAATTCATATTGTTCCAATTTAGTGAATTCATTTTAGTAATTTTGGGGAATTTGTTTTTTCAACAGAAGCTACACACATGATTAATTATATCATAAATCACTTTTCCCCCCTTGGATCTGAATGGCTATACTTTATTATTCTGAAATTCAAATTCTTTATGTTCTTCTATATATATATAAATTAATGACACTGAGCCATATTTATTTTTAAAATCTAATAGCATTTATCCTTGATAAATATCTGTCAAAGTAATATTATAATCTAATCTGATCAGTGGTGGGTTTCAAAAATTTTCCTACCTTTTTCTGTGGGTATGGCAAGGTAGGAGGTCATGTGACTGAGTGGGCATGGGCAACTTGACATCACTCATGCACATGCCCACTCAGTCACATGACCCCACCACCAAGCCATGGCCACAAAAAAGGTAGGATTTTTTTTGAATTTCAACCTGGCTACCAGCATGCCGCCCTGCTTCCCCTTTGTCAGTTGCAGGCATCACCCCATTTCCCCTGTTAGGTAGCCCCTGCCATATCCCTGCTTCCTCCCATACCACTGCTTCCTTGTTTGGGCTGCTTACCTTACTCCCCTGGTGGCTTCTCCAGACTCTGGAAGACAAATGATGGCCCCCAGCCAGCTGCTGTTGCTGGGAAATGGCTGGCAAAGAATCCTCCCAGACATCGCTTCTTTGAGAGCCACTTTGTGGCTGTGGTGGCTGGCTGCAGGCCACTGAAAAATACCTGAGGTCACCAAAAAAGCCACTGCCATTGCCTCTCTGTTCTTCACACATGAACATCCCATTGCTTTGCAAGTCTGAGTGGAGAAATGCAGCAGGCAATGGGATGTGCATGTGCAGAGAACAGGGCAGCAATGGCAGCAGGTTTTTCAGTGACCTCCATAGATTTCAGTGGCCTGCAGCCAGCCACCACAGCCACAAAGCGGCTCTCGAAGAGGCGGAACCTGGGAGGCTTCTCTGTTAGCCACTTCCCAGCTGTGGTGGCTGGCTCCAGATCCAGGTCAAGGCTGGAGCTGGGGAATGGCAGGCAGGGCAAATGAACATCGAACAGGTGAACGAAGTGAGTGAGCATTTAGTCGGTTGATGGGATGAGAGAGCATCAAGCTGGTGGGCATGGTTAATAACCAGGTGACCAGTTCAGGGGCGTGGCCCGCCAGCAGTCACTACCAGTTTGGTGACCAACAGTAAATCTCCACTACTGGTTCACACAAACTGGTGCAAATTGGCTGAACACCACCTCTGAACCTGATTTTATTGCAAAAATTTTAAAAGAGACTTAAATGGAACTTAATGGAATTAAAGATTTTTCTTCCCATGTTCAATGCAAAGTATGTCACACAAAGCAAACTGACACATGCCATGAACACATGGCCAGACCGCAAACTCAGAGCCAAACCAAAGCCCGGGATGTTACATCACAGCCATCTGCTCAGGACATTTCATCACAGAACTCAGGACATTACAATGCAAAGACTCAGGATGATACAACACAGCAAGCTTCCCAGGATGTTGCAGCACAGGAGTCAGGATATCACTATACTAGAGCTCAGGATGTCATCACACAGCCCATTACCTAGGTCATTACAGCACAAAAGACTAATTGGCACACAGCTAGTACCTCTGCCCTGCCACATGCATTGGACAAACTAATAGGAGAATAAATGCATGCATCGCAGAACACAAGAACGCAGCCAGCAAAAAAAGAAAAAAAAACTTCCTTCCTTTTCCAGCATCTTAAAGCTACAGGACATAAAATTGATTTTGTTTTTTTATTTTATTTTATTATTTTAAACACATAAGCACATCAACAAAAAACATAAAATTGATTTTGAAGGAACCAAATTAATCTCCAAAACAGAACACTTTAACAAGAGAATAATTATGAAGCCAATGAAATAGAGAAACACCCCCACAATATGAATAAATGTGATGATACCTCTCACCTACCAGACATCTGGAAACCAGCCCTAGTCAACAAACGAACCCCACCACCCGGGTCATTACAACACAAAAGAACAACAGACACACAGCCAGCACCTCAGCCACACAGGATGATATGAAACAGCCAACCAATTTACAAACATCAACTCCATCTACCAATCAGGATGCAACTACACAGCCAATCAACCCACTTACAGCAACAAATCCAACACTCCACACACTTCCACCAAGATTTATAGAAAGACGACAGCTCCTATCATGCCTTAATTGCACAAGTGTGAAGCTGAAAACACCAGCCTGAAAATGGTATGGTGAATGGGACCTCGCCGAAATGTTGCCAAAACAATCTCAATCTTACATGGGAAAAGACCCGAATACAACAACAGCTTGTGTTCTTGGTGGCATAGTCGTATTTTTAAAGCCATATAAAAGGCCTTCAAGTGTGTGGCTGATTTTTCTTTAGAAGGGATTTTATTCATTTACAATATATGTAATTGCATTACAGTATGGTATGCTGGTTCAGCTGTGGACAGGAAGGCACTAGAGAGAGTGATCAATTCGGCACAAGAAACCATTGGTTGCCCTCTGAAACCACTGGATGATATTGCCAGATCTCACTGCTTTAGCAGAGTAAGGAAGATACTCAGAGATGATTCACATCCTGGTCAGTGTCTCTTTGCACTTCTAGCATCCGGCAGAAGACATCAAAGTATAGTCAGCCGAACAAATAGGTTTAAAGATAGTTTCTATCCTTGGCCTGTCAGACTTTTAAATACAACCACAATCGCTCCATGTACACGCTAGTTTTTCTTTCTTTTTTTCGTTTCTGCTATAATTTTGTACCAGTGAGGTTAAAACCAATTTCGTTGTATTTAAGTACAATGACAATAAATATTATATTTATACTTGTATATTAAATAAAGCTAATATCATCATTAATGTTAATATATCTTAATATTGTGCAATATAGTTTTCCATTAATCATCTTTGCTTTGTAGTTTAATTTTGGAAATATTAGATAGAGATAATAAACAAGTTGACAAAATTAAGGGGTTCCTTAACTGAATGATTAAAAAAGAGAGCTATAAAGTGTTTTTGATACTGAGAATTTGGTTTTAGTAATTTTGGTTTTAGAGGTGCGGTGGCTCAGTAGTTAGAGTGCAGTTCTACAGGCTACTTCTGCTGACTTCCGGCTGCCTGCAATTTGGCAGTTTAAATCTCACCAGGCTCAAGGTTGACTCAGCCTTCCATCCTTCCGAAGTGGGTAAAATGAGGACCCAAATTGTTAGGGGCAATATGCTGGCTCTGTAAACCATTTACTGAGGGCTATAAAGTGGTATATACTGTAAGTCTAAGTGCTATTGCTATCCTATAAATTTTATGAATCATTTAATAAAAAGTGATGGAATTTGGAAGAATGACTGTTTCTAAGATTAATAAATAGAAGACTAAGTTGTTGGTCACAAATATGAGTGCATAAGTTCCAGAGCTGTTGATGATAAAGACTGGTTTTAAAATTGAAAGGAAAGGAGAATTAAAGTGACTAATAAAAATTGTATGTTGTTTCAGAATAATTAATGTTAAAACATTGAATGAATTAAAAGGAGATTTAATGAGGTGGCACATATTACAATTGCTATTTTTTCTCAGCATTTCAGTTACAAAAATGAATATTTCACTGACAATTTTGTTGCTTTTATTTCAAATACCAATTTTATCAGCTGATGTATGTTTTACACAATGCCAGAAAAATATTGGAAATCATGGTCACATGACTATGAAAACCTGTGACTAGTAGTCAGTAGTGGGTTGCCATTTTTTATTACTGGTTTAGGTGCTCGCTCTCTCTTGCGTGCGGTGCTTCTTTGCATGCACAGACGCATCCAGGCAGGTGGGAGGAGCCTCCTGTCACCAATACTACTAGGTCACCCAATCCGGATTGAACCAGGAGCAACCAGTGGTAGGTTTCAAAAAAGGTTGGAACCTCTTCTGTAGGTGTGGCCTGCTTTCTGGGTCCACTGGTGGAACCTCTTCTCACCAGTTCAGTAGATTTGATGAACCGGTTCTACCAAATAGGTGCGAACTGGTAGGAACCCACCTCTGGGAGCAACCCACCTCTACTGGTAGTAAAACTGACCCACCCAAACACAGTCATATAATGGGAGGGTCAGGATAAACATATAAGATTATCTGTTTTTTTCAAACCATCCATAAGGTCATAGAGCTTTCATTCCATGGCCATCATAACTTCAAAAAGAGCATAAAGAAATCAGTGAAAAGTGGTGGACTACCTATAATAGAATTTTCT